CTCAGCTTCTTTCACAGTCACCTTGTGTAAACCTTGTATAAAAAGTTGTTCAGATGACTCTGACCTTTACAGAAAACCTGTAGAAGGCATGAGATACCAAACCAGAGTTAGGGCAAGGGATACTTTGCTAGATGCCTTTTCCTTCTCTTTTAATAAATCCTAGGATCATAGATTTAGAACTGAAAGGAAACTTAAAAGTCCCCTAGTTCAACACTCTCATTTTACAGAGAAGGAAACTGAGCTCAGAAAGGTTAAATGATTTGCCTATGATCATACAGGTAGTAAATGAAAGAACCAGATATAGAACTCAGGTATTCTGACTGCAAATCTAATGCTTTTTCCAATACTCTTTACAGTATACCACTCTGCCTTCTAGGTATTATCTGCATTAATGGGAGCTAGATATCTTTTTGTTTTGTTCATAAAGGGTAAGTGATTGACATTTTGGTAATTCATATTTGCCATTGTTTTAATACTACCAACAATAGTGAGTGTGAATCTTTTCTTATGAAAACTACAATGCCACCAAAGTTAAAAAAAAAAATTAAAGGCAAAGTCTTTTTTTTAATGAAAGCAGTGATATAAATCCTGGCTTCTGGAAGACAGAATAGTTTGTTTTATATATAAAGAAAATTAAATGCTGTTGTGGGGAGAGATGGAAGGAGAAGAATCACTAAAAATTGTAGCAGGGAAATAAACTAATTAGTGTTTTTTGTTATTAGTAAAGCTTATACCTTTCTTTTTCAGCCCTCCCTACCAAGTATAAGAATGAAACTATGACAGGATACCACCCCACAGAGAGGATTTATACCAATGAAGACCAATGTGAAGTAGAAAGCAGTGAACAAGGTAAAACTACTATATAAATCAATGATCTCCCCAAGTATTTCCAAAAGGTCATTAAGCCTATAGAATAAGAGAACATCAGTGTATTTGCATATAGTCTTTGCTTAGTCTTCAAGTTAGTTTGATTTTAAGCCATTCCCTTTTTTCATTTTTTTCCTTCATACAGATCATTCTAACCAACCTAAATTCAGACTGAATCGAGAGAGAAAAGTCATAGAGATTAAAAAATAAAATAAGGGAAAGTAAGAGAACCAGCAAAAAAAAATTTCACCTAAATACCAAAAACAGATCAATATTGTAGTGAAAATATTGAAGAACAATTATAAACTGGGTGTGTGGTATACATCTCTAATCACTGCTACTGGGGGATGCTAAGGTTTGTGGATCACCTGAGTTTGAGGACTCTGAGCTGTAATAGGGCAATAGCCAATGAGGTAGATGTCCATGCTCAGTCTGGCACCAATAAGATGAGCCCCCAGAGAAGGGGGCTACCAGGCTGCCTCAGGAGGGTCAACTTTGTCCTGTTCAGAAAAAATAGAGCAGATTAAAGCTTCCATACCATTAAAATGGGCCTGTTATTGGGGGCAGTTAGGTGGCACAGTAGATAAAGTTCTGGGCCTTGAGTCAGGAAGACTCATCTTACTAGCTGTGTGACCCTGGACAAATCATTTAAGGCTGTTTGCCTGAGTTCCTCATCTGTAAAATGAGCTGGAGAAGGAAATGGCAAACCATGTCAGTATCTTTGCCAAGAAAATCCCACGTGGGGTCATCAAGAGTCAGATATGACTGAAAATGACTGAACAACAACAACAGTTTGAATCTAGAGCTACTTTTCTGTGATGTCTTGCATCACAGGTTATGTGACCACATAGCCTGTTCTAACGATTTATCATATAATATGTAGGCTAGAGTCCACATTTATCAGTACAAAGCACTGGCGTGCAAAATGATATTTTCTTGATAAATGATGAACATTTAATAAAGATATTTATGTGTATATATAGTCTCATACATGTGAGCCCTTCTATCAACACAAATCCATTCATGTCATCTCATCCTTTGCAATCCTAGTCTATATCTTTCCATAAATTTATTTACAGGTTAAGTCCGTAATGCTTATAAGTGCTCCCAAGTCTCCTCCGTCCTTAAAAAAAAACTCACTTAACCTACTATCCCCTTTAATTATTTCCCTGTGTTTTTCCTCCCTTTCATAGCCAAATTCTTAGGAGGAAAAGTCTGTTATTGGTGATTACTTTAATCTGCTCTTTAAAACATGTATAGATATGATATAGTTCTATGGGTAGGTAGTTGCTAATATCTTCTCAATTATCTTTTTGCCATCCCTACCATCCATAATCTTTTCCATTGTTTTGAAACCTTTGAGATATGACAATGATAATGGTGGTGATAGCTAACATTTATATAGTACTTTAAGGTTTACAGGGGATTATGTACCCATCATTTCATTTGATTTATGATGCAAGGTAGATATAAGTAGAGGTATCCATTTTAGGAATAAAGAAACCTAAGGCTCACAGAGGTTAAATGATTTGCCTATGTCACTTAGTAAGTAATGGTGAAATTCAAACTCTGTCTTTCCTGACTCCAAGTCCAGCCCTCTTTCCCCTATACCACACTGAAATTCAACCCCAAAGATTCTTCAAAATTGTTTTAGCTCCAGCATGAGCTTCTTTTTTATATATTTTATCAGTTTCATTTTTGTTTAATTCATGCTAATTTTTAGGTCAAGTTATCAATTGGTGCTTCTAAAACTACCTTTGTCTAATATAATATGAACAAAAATAACTGGGGAAAATTCATAATAATAATTAAACCCATTCATTTTTACATTCACATTGTGACTTTTCCCCCTTGGTTTTAGTTTTTCACAGCCTGTGTCTTTCAGGGGAGTTAGAAATGCCTTTTACTCTTCCATGTCTAATAACCCAACATTCCCTGGTAAATCCGATACATGCTGGACTTCGAACATATCAACTTTCTCCTGTTTATAATATGTAAGTAAAAACGAGATAAAATGCTATTCCAAAAATGCTGTTTTTTAATTAAATATATTTTGTGGGGTCAAATTTTCCCATGTTCTAGAGAAAGCTGCCTGGTTCTTTTAGCCTATGTGGAATAAAAAATATGATTTTCCCCATTCTCCTGTAAATAGAATAGTATTCTCCAAGAAAATGTTCTAAATGTACTTTCTTTTTGAAATTGATAGCTCCATTTGTTTGCACAAATAGATAGAAATAACCAATAACAAAAATGAACATAAGAACAGTTATGGGTAGGCTACTGATCTATGACTCTGGACAACTCATTTAACCTTCTAGAGTCCCAGTTTCTCTAATTCTACACTGGGACCATCAATTTGATAATGCTGATTTGATTTGCCTTAAGGGACATAAACTCAATTCTTTGACCTAACAGAGAATAGACCTATATAAATGCCCTGAGAAGGAGCTCTGAAGATTTGCATAGGGTAATAATTCCTGTCTCCACCCTTTCTTCTCTGTGCCCTCAAATTTTATCTCTATAATATCCTTCACATCCATCCCATTTTTTCATATGAACAACTATCACCCTGTCAGGCCCTCATCCCCTCCTGTCTATTATAATAGCCTCCTAATTGGTCTCTCTTTTGTTAAGACTCTTCCCCCTCTCCAATCCACACAACCACCAAAGTTACATTTCTAAAGCACAAATCTGACCATGTCTCACTTCCCTGCTCAATAATCTCCAGTTGCTTCTTGTTGCTTTTAAGATCACAAATTCTTCTGCTTGACATTGAAATCCTTTAACAGTTTGGTTCTAACCTGTTTTTTCAGCCTTATACACATTGTTCTCCTTCACATCCTCTTTGGTCCAGTCAAACTGGCTACTTTATGGTTCCTCATACAGGATAATCCATCTCTCATCTCTGTGCCTTTGCCCAGGCCTTTTCTTTTCACCTACATGTTGGAATGTCTAGTTTCCTTCAAAGCTCAGTACATGAGCTCCTACATGAAATTTTCCTGATCCCCAATCTCAGCTTTTAGTTCCTCTTCTCCAAAATTGCCATGTATTTATTTTCTATTTCCTATATACTTATGTGTACATGTTGAACAGCAACCTTTCGTTTTTGTCTTTATATCCTTAGTTCCTAAAACAGTAACTGACTCTTAACAAATACTTGTTGATTGGTTAATTGTATGATGCATTTTATTTACTATGTTACCCATTACTGAGGCTACTTTCTTCTTTTATGAAATACCCTATACCTCAAAAAATCAAGTATTTATTATTTACTATGTGCAAAGCACCAGGACAATCACAGTGAGAGATACAAAGACATGATCCCTACCTTATGGAATATGAAAACTTTTCTTCTCCTTCCAATGGATTCTTAAACCATGAAGATATTTTGGCCCATGACTCAATTGCACATCCATTTTAGATTTGCCTTCACAAAATGTCATGCAGAAGTTCACCTCCTTTTTTGTTATTCCTTCCTATCATTTATATATTTGCTTCCACAGTCCAGAATCTCCAGGTATTCAGCATCAAAATACCTGGATATTCAGAAACTTGGTTGCCTCCTTTTGCCACAAAATGTCCAAATTTTCTGTATTACATGGGATAATTAAATATTCTAACATCTTCCAAATCTGGCCCTGGCCTTGAGCTTTCATTTCTACTATGTGATGATTAAAGTTAAACTATACTAGCATCAATGAGATTGACTAGAATCGTATCTGACCCAGTCTCTGAACTTTTAGTTCAACTAGCAATGCCTAAAGTTAAGCTAAATTGACATGCTAAAAATGACAGTAGAGTATGCCAAAAATACCAGTGGAGAAAAGTGTCTCCTCTCTTGACACCATCATTCATGAAGATGACTGAGGGGTAAAGACTTCTTGTCAGTATATCGGCTACCTGAATTAGAAAATGTCCTTTCTAGCTCAGTCTTTACATTTATAAAATGGGATTAGTATTCTCATTTTCCAAAGTTAAAAAAGGGCTCAGAAAATTTACTTTTTCTCAGCTATGATATTGTAATACAAAAAATAAGAAAATTCTAAATATTCTAAAGATATTAAATTAAATTTCTTAATATAAATATTTTTCAGTAATTTTCCTCCGGCTGAAAATTACACTAAGGAATGCAGGGTGGAGCTGTGTTCAGAAAACTATCGAAGTTCCCTGGACTCTCTTTTACTTGCAGGTAAGAAATGCCTGTTTGCATGTGCTCAGTTGCTGTAGGAGAAGTGTATCTAGATATGAAAAAGTACAAGCACAAGAAATGCTAGATAGTGTTAATCTAGGTCTAGGATATACATCTAAATACTTTATAATGTACAAAAAGGCTTTGTTGGCAAGGCTATACATACAAACAGCCTATACAAACAAACACACTAATGAGTTATGTTCCAAAAGTTCATTTAGAAGTCAGTTGTTTAGAACTTAGCACATATTTTTTCCCATAGAAATGTTGTAAATAAATAACTTAGGTAGCCCATGCAAGCCTATTTAAGCCATAATATAAGAAAAACACAAGACGAAGAGACAAGCTTTGCTGCCCTTACGCAAATCATTTTACTTCTCTTGGACTCAGTAGCTTTAGTGAATGAGGATGAGGGTGTACATACTAGGGAAGAGGGACCAGTGGGATCAAGCAGTAGAATGTGTGTGGAAGAAGAACTTCATATGCACAGATCATTTGGGGGTCACAGATTGGTAAATCAGAGATTGTCTACTTTCCCAGGTGCTGCCTCCATGGAACTTAGAGCCTCATAGAGAATACAAGTCTGCCAAATATACTATAAGCAAAAAATTCAGCAGAAAAGTGAAATTTCTGTTCAATATCCATGTATTTATGACAAGTCAAATAATCTGCATATTTGAAAACATCCAATTTTTTAAAAAAATTTACCTGCCATGCAAATTTTGGAAACACAACAAAAATTGAGAATTAAGGTCATTATTATAAGAAAAATCTATTTTTGTGATAAATTTTTGTTAATCTGCTGAGTTCCTTCCTAAGAAGTTTTTTTCTTCAGAAAGTATTAATAATATAACTGATAAAAAAACTGATTTTAGTTAGATAGGGCATCTTATATTAGTTCTTCAGAGACTTGTATACTATGCTTAAAAATATTTAAAAGCACATAACCTGTGTTAATGAAAAGTATCATACTTTCACAGTCATGAAGGAAAAAGAAGGAAATTTTTGCAATAATGGAAATGACACTCTTATTATATAATAGGGCTTTTTGTTAAAGTGAGAAAATTCTACCATCATAGTATTTTTATCAGCTCAGTATAGTGGGAAAAGTCCTGGGTCTAGGGTAGAGCTTGTGTTTGAATACTCACTCTGCCATTTACTGCTCTATGATCCTTACCAAGTTATTAACCTCTTTGGATCTTGTAAAATGAGGATAATCATATCCCCTACCTCCCAGGGTTGTTGTGAAGATCAAATGAGATAATAAGTGTAAAGCGCTTAGCACAGTGCCTTAGCACATAGCAAGTGATATATAAATGTTATTATTATTATTATTATTATTATTATTATATGACTAGATACATTCCAGATGTTCAAAACAGATAGAAACAATCTGAGAGGGGAAGGTACCAGCTGGGATACCAGAAAAGGCTTCCTGCAGAAAATGAGCCTTGAGCTTGGTTTCCTTGAAGCTAAGGAGTGGCATTATTTAAGGAATTACAAACCAAACCCCCTTCATCACTAACTTTCCTATTTCTGTCCAGAGTAAAAACATTCTTCTAGGCACCCAGGTTCACAATGTAAGAGTCAACTGTTAGATTGCATAGTGTATAGAGGACTGGGCTTGGAATCAGAAAGACCTAAGTTCAAATCCTGCCGTGTATAGCTATGTGACCCTGGGTCAGTTACTTAACCCCTTTCAGCCTCAGTTTCCTATAAAATAAGGGTATTAGACTTGATTTCTAAGGTCCCTTCTAGCTCTAAGTCCTTGATTCTATGATTCCCCTCTCTAGTCTTCCTCATTATTTTTCCCATTTATCCCCTTCTCTCTGTTAATACTACAACCAGTCTAGGTCAAACCCTCTATCACCTACTGCCCAAATAACATCAATAGCTTTCTAATAGATCTCCCTGCCTCCAATCCATCATCCACACAGCTACCACATTAATATTTCCAAAGTATAGGTATGACAATGTCAGTCCTCTGCTCAGGAGGCTTTGGTGGCTCCCCATTGCCCTTAATACAAAATACAAACTCCTCTGTTTGGCATTTTAAAGCCTTCACTTCAGCCTGTCTTTCCAGGCTGATAGTACATTGTTTCCCCTCTTGTACTCTATGTAACAGCCAAACTGGCCTTCTTGCTGTTCCATGCATGCAACATTCCATCTCCCACTTTTTTGCCTTTGAAAAGCTGTCCCTCCTACCTAGAATGCTCCTTCTTTTCCACCATCTCCTCTTGGAGGCCCTAAATCCTTTCAGTGTTATTCATCTTTCCAAAGGCTTTTCTGAATTCCTACCCAACCAATGCATATTTATTTTGTGTTTACCGTATATGTACTCATCTGTGTGCATGATGTAACCACCTAGTAGAATGCATGCTCCTTTGTACAAAGGGCACCAAGGCAGGAAGTTTTGTTAACATGCTAGATGATGGGGTCAGCAAACAAAACAATCTTGACAGGATAGAGCACTAGAGACATGTCAGCTAGAGAGTTGGGTTGAAACTAAGAAGATGAAATTCAGTAGAGATAAATGTAAAGTGCACTTGGGTACCAAAACAACAGAAACGACTTCATAAGGAGAGTTATGGATAGACAACAGTTGTTCTGAAAAAGATCTGGGAATTTGAGTGCTTAGCAAGCTCCATATATTAGTAGTGTGATGTGGCAGCTAAGAAAGCTGATGCAATCTTGGGCTGCATTTAAAAAAGGAATAGTTTCCAGGAATGGTAGGTGATATCCCACTGTACTCTGCCCTTGTCAGACCTCATGTGTAATAGTGTGTTCAATTTTGAGAGCCATGGTAAGGACATTAATAAGTTGAAGAATGTCCAGAAGAGGGGAAACCAGGATGGTGGAGAACCTTAATCCCATGTCAAGATTCAGGGGGTGGGGATGGGGATGAGGGAAAATGTGATAGATAGCTCTCTTTAAGTATTTGAAGGGATATTTTTTGAGAGACTAGACCTTTTTCCTTTTGTTCCCAGAGGGAAAAACCAGAAGCAATGGGTAGGATAGGGCTCTTCCAAATCTCAAATTCTGATTCATTGAGGGGAGGGACTGTCTTACTTTTTAAATATATGTGTCTCTAGTGCCTAACAGAGAACCATTTTGATTTCCACTATACTAAACTCTTATATTATTCCCCTTCACATATACCTTGTTACAGGCAGACTTGCCTGCTGGAGGTTCACCGTTCACAATTCATGTCCTTGCCTCCATGACTTCCCAAACAAACCTGCTGGTGGGTCTGCCTGCCACGAGTCTCTCCCCACTGCAGTCTATCCTCCTGTCAGCTGCCAGAGTGATATTCCTACATTCCTGTCTAACCATATCACCCCACCCTCCTACAATAAACTCCATTGGCTCCTTATCACCTCCAGGTTCTTTATAACCCAAACCTAACTTACCTTTATAGTCTTCTTATTCCCCACCATACATTCTTTGATCCAGTGTCACGAGCACTCCATCTCTCAGTTCTGGATATTCTCTCTGGCACTCTCCTGTTCCTGGAATACTCTCCCTCCTTATCTCTGCCTCCTGGCTTCATTCAAGTCCCAGCTTAGGTTCCATCTTTTACAGGAAGTCATCCCCAGCCCCTCTTAATTTTGGTGCTTTTCCCTTCTGTTGATTTTGTCTTATTTATGCTGCATATAACTTGTTTGTACATATTTATTTGCTTGTTGTCTTCTTTCCCCCACCCCCACTCCATTTGATTGTGAGCTCCTCAAATATGGGGACTGTTTTGTTTTGGTTTTTCTTTTTGTATCCTCAGCACTTGACACACTGCCCGGCATACAGTAGATGCTTAATAAATGACTATTGACTGACTGACAAAATGGTCTCCCATATCTGGAATGTACTTTGCCCTCACTTCTGCCTGATACAGTCTTGGTCTTCCTTCCCTTCTTTTCACCTCCCTCCCCAGGACCTTTCTTTTAGCCATCGTTAACACTGTTTCTCTTGAAGCTACTTAATGTATACTTTATATTACTTAATCATGTACATGTTGTATCACCCCAATAGAAGGTTAGGTTCTTCAGGGCAGTAGCACTTTCATTTATGTCTTTGAATATTCATAGTAGGCACCTAATAAGAGTTTGTTGAATTGAACTAATAACTGATAATAAAAGTTTACAAATGCATACGAAGTCATTTGCAGTCCTTTTTAGTATTTATTTTCTTAGCTGCTTGTTTTATATTTATTCTTCTCAACAGAAGTTAAAACTTTAGTATTAATTTTTAAAATAAGTATATTTTAAAAACTATAATCGTTTGGGCCAAATAACTCTTTTTTGAGATAGCCTATGCAAGATAAAATTCATTATGAGATACCTTCCTTTGTCATACAAAGAATTATATTTTATGGTTTAAGTACAATTTTTCCAAATTTTTCCAAATTGTAATTCAGTGTCAGAATACATAAGCAAAATAAATTTTAGTTTCTTCTCCTGCTAACATTAGGGTAGTTTGGTCTTTGTTAAAAGAAAAGAGCAGTGTGCCAGTCTTCCCAAAAGATGGGAAATATTTATTTGTGACTTGAGCACCATACCCCCACATCATTTATGTTCATTTTGGATATCCAACCTGTTTTATGATTTTACTCCTTAATAAGTTGGAAAGTTTTGTACTTAAAAATATTTTCTATTTTTTTAATTTTTATTTTCTCTATATAAGTTAAATCAAACATTTTAAAAGTGCAGATGTAGCTATTTCCAAATGTTTGTTTATTCTAGGAACAATTGTTAAAGATGACTTAAATTTTCATAATAATTTTAAAGTGTAAAATGTTTCATGACAATATAGCTATATTTCCAAGATGTTTTCCTAAACTTCTCTTTGCAACTGTTTTGAATTATTTCTGCCTATTTGTTTTTCAGTGCCACAAACCAAAGAGCCTGTAATTCACTATTCAATTACAGCTTTGAAAAGAATATTTTCTGTCGAGGTAGAAATCATTACACTTGATTCATTAAAAGAAGAATGGTGGAAACAAGAAGGACTGAATATGATAATGACAGATACCTTGGAATATCTGACTCCAGATCTGTGTTATCACAACCAAAATGGAGATATTACAACTCAAATGGAGATATTGCCTGTAAAACCACTTCAGTTGGAGTGTAAGTAACCAATCTTAAAACTATTTCTTAGAGGGTTAGAAATTTATAGTTGCCAGGTCAAAACTGGTAACTGACTAAAGCAAACATTTACAATTACAATTTATATTTGTTTTTCAGTAATGTCCTACTCTTCATGACCCCATTTGGGGTTTTCAAGGCAAAGATACTGGAATGGTTTGCCATTTCCTTCAGCTTATTTTACAGATGAGGAAACTGAGGCAAACAGGGTTAAGTGACTTGCCTAGGGTCACACATCAAGTAAACATCTGAGGTCAGATTTGAACTTAGGTCTTCCTGACTTAAAAGCCCAGTGCTCTACCCACTGTGCCACTTACCTGCCCCAAAGCAAATATACACTGTGTTGAAAAAATATGTATTAATACTGTACTCTACATTTTAGGAACAATTTTTGCCAGAAACAGTTTTATTTAGCATTAATGTAATGTCCAAGTCATTTGTAGCTTAGAAAGATACCTAAACTGGCATATTTCCACCATACTCTCTGACATGTCTCTACTTCAAGACAGTTTAAGGTAACATTTATAGGATTTTTGAACTAAGAAAAGATGATAGTGTATTAATATATAGTTTGGGATTAACAAGCCAGAATAGTATCTATTCAGTTCCTTCCTGGACCATTCTCTTCATGAATTGAAAAGGGTTTTCTCCCTATGATCAATATTTTAACTTTAAATTAAAAAAAGAACACTACCTTAGGTGGATCATGATTTCAAGTGGGTGAGAAGCAATGGTCTTATCTAGGCTAGAGTTAAATTTGGTTATCACTCTTAATTCATTTCCCTAAAAAAAAGTTCTTAGCTTTTATTCTACAGCTTTCCAAAAGGAAATCTTAATATTTTCAGTTGAACCTAAAAGGTGGTTTTTAATATCTTTCCCCAACTCCTAGATTTTTGCCTAAATTTGGAAAGGACCCACTTCTCTGTCTCATTTATAGAGATTTCTTTAGTTCCTAACTCTTTCCAGCTTCAGTGACAGTATTGTTATTAACAAATAATTAATTGCTTAGTAAAATTATTTCTTTTCATACCAAACTAGTCACTATTCATTTGTTCATTCAATAAATATTTTTTGAGAGTGCAACTATGCACTTATTTGCAATCTATTGTATGAGGTGTTATGGGACAATTTTTTTAAAAAACAAATGTCACAGTCACTGCCCTCATGGAACTTACATTCTAACAGAGATGATAAGATATGTACTGAAATAATTATCATAGAGTAGGCTGTGAAAGTATGACAAACGGGAATAGTAGGAGGATATAGTTAATAGTACTGATGCTGCTCAAAGGTTGAGGAGCATGATGACTAAAAAAATTTCATTGAACTCGGTATATCACAGGTCGTCATTGAGTAACTTTTGAGAGAACAATTTCTGCAGTGTTGAGAATACTATAAGGGAATGGAGAGTGTGAATAGGTTTAAAGAAGTGAAGGCATCAGTGTAGACTACTTTTAAAAGAAATTTGATAATGATGGGGAGGACAGAACTGGGGCAGAATCCTAAAGTCAGTCTAATACAGTGGGGTAAAATCAGAATGTTGGAGCTAGAGGGGCCCTTAGTTATCATCTATAACCTTCATCATTCATAATCTTCATTTGCAAATGTGGAAATTGAGACTCACTGAGGTTAATTAAGTTGCCTTATTGGTGTCAGAACAAAAAATTGAAATAAGACTTTTTGATTCCTAGTGCATTACTTCTTCCACTGCACCATGCCACTTCTTCAGAATCAAGGGAGTATTTTTTCATTGTTTGTTTTTTTTTCTAATACAAGAGAGCCAACATGACATAATAAATAGAGAACCAGCCTTGGCCTCAGGAAGATCTGGATTCAAGTCCCACCTCTGACACATACTTATAACTATGAACAAGTCACTTAACTTCTCAGACCCTCCAGGAAAAACTATAATTTGCAGAAGTTACTGATTACATTGTTAGAGAGAGGTTCCTCCCTAGAGATCTCCCTAAACTGATAAAATTAAAAGTCTGAACCAACATCTAATCCACTTAGCTGAAGATTAAGATAATGACACTAATATGATGAAGGAGTATTTGTATTTGATTGTCAGCTATGAAGGGAAAGAGTAAATGGATAATTAGGGGAGGGTATTAGCTGAGAAATTTGATTGGTACACATACCTACAGACTGATGCAAGAACCTGGCTGGGGAGGGGGAGATGTGGGTGTGGGGCATGTTGAGGAACATGGGGTAAGCAACATCTTTAACTCATCATGTCTAAAACTAAACTCAATATCTTTCTCCCTAATCCTTGCCTTCTTCCAAACTTCCCTATTTCTATATTAGGACCACCATCCCTCCAGTCTCCCAAGTTCATAAGGTTAGCATTATCTTCAACTCCTCACTCTCCTCTACCCCACATATCCAATAAGTTACCAAAACTTGCCATTTTTACCTTCACAGTGTCTCTTATATCCAACCCCTTCTCTACAATTACGCAACTACCCACTTAATTAAGGCCCTTATCACCCCTCACTTAGGTTATTGCAATAGCCTTCTTCAGCAGGCCCTGCCTCAAGTCTCTCCCCACTCCAGTCAGTCCTATGAACTGCTGCCAGAGTAATTTTCTTTAAACACAGATCTGACCACAAGAGTAGTATCACCTACTCATCCAACTCCAGTGGCTTCCTGTTGCCTCTAGGATAAAATAGAAACTTTTCTGTTTAACTTTTAAAGCCCTATGCAGTCTGGTCCCAGTCACTTTCCAGCTTCATTGTGTATTACTGCCTTTCCTATACCTTGTGATGCAGCCAGACAGACATTCTCTCTGTTCCTTACATACAACGCCCCATGTCCCATCTCCAAGACTTATTAGTTGTCCCTAATTTTTGTTATGTAATCTGTCCATGCTTCTATCTCACTTCCTTTAAGATGCAGCTTAAGCGCAATCTTCTGCATGAGCCATCCTGATCCATCTAACTGCTAATGCCCTCCCTCCCAAACTACCTCATATTTAACTACTTTGTATGTATTTGTATTTATTAATTTTATATTTATGCTATATATATATTTGTACATGTACTTGTGCCACTCTGTTAGAATGTAAGCTCAATGAGAGTAGGAATTGAAATAGAGAAATAAACAAAGAGAGATCTCAGAGAAAGACAGAGGGAGACAGAAAATCCTAGATCTCACCCAAGGGCAAGAGTGTCTGATAGTGAAGTAAGTTGGGGATAGGGATGTGTTCAAGATTCTGGCTCTTCCACATATCATCTTCCCAGAGTCTTTTTCCCCTGTCAGGGATCTGTCCCTGAGTAGAATCTTAAACTGTATTTCTTCTTCTGTCTCGGAGTTGGAAGCCTGAAGAGCTAGATGTCTCTTTTCCAAAACTCTCACCAGCTCCACTTTTCATACAGGTGTGGAACATTGAGTTATCAATAACCAATGAGGGCAGTCCCATGCAAATGGGCTTTGAGCTACAGGTTACACTTGTATCTCCAGAACCTTCCATAATAGTAAATGTTTAATAAATGATTGATTGATATCCTGTTTTTGATGAAGCCATGTTTTTTTTTTAGTCATTGCTTCCTTTTCTAAATTTTCATTAATTGTCCCTTCTAATAATATATTCAAGAATTTTACTAGGAATAGTAAAACATTGACCTATAGTTTATAGATTCCACTTTTCCTTTTTTTGGAAAAAAAGTACAATTTTTTTTTACCCTTCTTCAGCCAGAATCACAGAATCTCAAAGTTTTAATGTCATCTAGTCCATTTTGTACCTAAATAATATCCTCTCCCCAATATATCTATAAGTGGTGACCATTCAACTTTTATTTGAAGAACTCCCATTGTGGGGAGACCTCTTAAAGTAGCCCATTTCTCTTTTTAATAACTAATGATTAGGAAGTTTTATTTCATCTCAAGCCTAAATTTGCCAGTTTTCAATTCCATAGTAGATAAAGTAGTAGATTCAGAATAGAGAAGACCTGCATTTAGGTCTTAGACCGGACGCTTAATATCTATGCAATCACAGACAAATCATTTAACTTCTCTGAGACACAGTTTCATTTTCTGTAGAATGAGGATAATAATACCTACTTCAAGTGTAAACTGTCTTGTAAACTTTAAAGCACAATACAAGTCCCAACTGTTATATCATCCATTGTTCCTGCTTCTGCCTCCTAGGGCAAAACTGAACAAATCTATTCCTTTTTTTACCTGACAGCCCTTCAGATATTTTAAGACAGATTCTTATGTCTAGGTATGTGCTGGTAAATGTTAAATAACCAGCTTTTGGGGGAAAATACATCTGCATTATCAACATTTTAAATAATTATTAACATAATTATTGTATAATAATTATGTTAATAATTATGATTTATAATAACATTATTGATATAATGTTGATATAATAATTATTGAATTACAATAAATATTAAATAATCTACATTATTAACATTTTCTCCATCATTTTCTTAAGCCTAGACAATCAACAAAATAATAAATCAAGCCCTGATTTGTAGCAAATGCTGTAAATACTCACATTGAAAACTTAACAGTCATCTCTTCCACAAGCTAGCTGCAACACAGTCCTGAACCTAAGGCATTTCTTCTCCAGGTTAAACATAACCAAGTCTGATAATTGATCATGTGTCATGAACCTAAGACCCTTCAACGTCCTGGTTGCCCTCTGTAGATGCTCTCTAATTTGTCAATGCTCTTCCTAAAATGTGGCACATAGAACTGAATACAATATTCAGTGCAACCAGAATAGAGTACAGTGGGACTGTCACCTCCCTAATGCGAGTACTTTGCCTGTCTTGCTGCAGTCTGTAATCGTATGACCTTTTTTGATTGTCATATCATACTGTTGACTTATACTGAATTTGCAGTATACTAAAACCCACAGGTCTTTTTTTCGAGCTATGTGATTTCTAGCCACATTACAAAGGAAGGGATAGGCAAGTGTCCAGAAATGACTGTGGTAGAAACACAAAAGTTAGCACTAAAACTTATTTTAAATGAAATAAATTCACTTTTCTCTTTACATTATAATTTTGTTAACTTTTTTTATTTGAAAGTATATTTTAAGGGGGGGCAGCTAGGTGGCCCAGTGGATAGAGCACCGGCCCTGAAGTCAGGAGGACCTGAGTTCAAATGCGGCCTCAGACCAAACACCTGACATGTACTAGCTGTGTGACCTTGGGCAAGTCACTTAACCCCAATTGCCTTACCAAAAAAACAAAAAAAACAAAAAAAAAATGAAAGTATATTTTAAAAGGAAAATAGGGGCAGCTAGGTGGCGCAGTGGATAGAGCACCAACCCTGGATTCAGGAGGACCTGTGTTCAAATCCGGCCTCAGGCACATAACACTTACTAGCTGTGTGACCCTGGGCAAGTCACTTAACCCCATTGCGTAGCCAAAAAAAAAAAGGAAAATATACATTTTTCTTTAAAATATGTCTGACTTTTTATTTAATGCTAATGTTTTTCCAATATTTAATTTAATTTTATATTTTATATTTATTATGAATTAAGGAACATTACAATCACTGAAAAATTGAAGTTGATCACCCAAATAGCACTGGAGAGCCACATGTTGGATGTGAAAATACTATAACCCATTACAAACACTTACATGAGATAAGTGTTGGAACAAAGGAATGAATGAAAAACATTTACTATGTGATTGCTATGTACAAAATACTGTGCTGAGCACTAGTGATTCAAATATTAAAACAAGATAATCCCTGCATACATTCTGTTGAAGCCCCATGGTACTTTGCTGTTTTTGCAACAGCAAAGCCAATGGTAATGAATCTTCTTTAATGTTATTTCTACTGATATAAACAGTATCTGTTTCTGATGTTCGTTCGACAGTGCCAAGGACTTTGATGGCAAGAACTTTCTTTTCTGGGTCTTCAGTAGCTGTGGCTGCTAAAGAGGCAGTTGCCTGGTCACATTTCTGTAAGGGTTTATTCCCTGGATAGTACCTTCAGGCATTGTTTGAGAAGTATGATCAGTGGGGATAGGGAGCCATACTACCATTACAGAGGTTCTCAGGCTTATTTGCTCATTAATAGTAGCTGGTCAGCTTTTGGGTCTTGCTGGGAAAGACTGTGAATCCATTCGCCACAGAGTTTGCTACCCTCAATTATGCCTAGTCTAGAGGCCAGTCTAGAAGCAGGGCTGGCAGTATGGGGGGGAGGGGAGCAGGTAGCATTGCCATTCTCAGGCTCTTGGTTGCTAAGATCCTTGGCTTTCTCTAGCTACTGGAGTCTTAGGGAGGTGGGGATCAAGATGGTATGACTCACCTGGCTCTTGACACTCCTCTCTTATTTTCCCCAGTATATTTTGTTGCTTCTTCTAGGGTGACTTGCCTGCTCTGTGGGTGGAAATCAAGTCATCAAAGTTATCAGGATATGATAGAAAAAAGATGGACTAGTTACAGAAGAGCAGTGGATAACCAAGGGCGGCTTGCATGCTCTGCTGATCCTTGGACTGTCAAGAGAACATAAGAAAGGGCCCTAGGACATTGAATGCACCACCTTTGGCAATCTTATAAGAGGACAAGAGTTGTAGAGGATGAATGGATAGGCATGTGTAGGTTGTAATCTACCTTGCTTTAGAAACTGCATTAATGAAATCACAGATCCACTAGATACTGAAACATTTGACTTTGGATTCATATATGGACTTGTAATAATGGCTACAATAGAGAACAACCCAAATTTATCCATAATCTTGTATTTTTGTGCTTGTTTAGAAATTAATAAAAACCAATTGTTTTGCACCAGGGCAGAAGTTCAGAAATACTCTAATTTATTGGTTTTGGAAATATTATTATCTTTTACTGTCAATTTATTCTAGAATAACATTTTTTTTTGGTAAGGCAACTGGGGTCAAGTGACTTGCCCAGGGTCACACAGCTAGTAAGTGTTATGTATTTGAGGCTGGATTTGAACTCAGGTCCTCCTGACTCCAAGGCCAGTGCTCTATCTGCTGCACCACCTAGCTGCACCTCCTAAACATTTTTTTTTTTTACCTTTTTGGTGAGGCAGTCGGGGTTAAGTGACTTGCCCAGGGTCATACAGTTAGTAAGTGTCATGTGTCTGAGGCTGGATTTGAACTCAGATCCTTCTGACTCCAAGGCCTGAGCTTATCTACTGCACCACCTAGCTGCCCCAACAAAAATATTTTTAAAATTGAATTTGAATTGAATACATTGCCCTAAGATTTCATTATCTTTGTAGAAAACCTTACAGAAGGAACACATTTTAAATGTTCAAAGCTGAAAGTAGATAAAGTTGACATACATTATTGTCAAACTATACTGGTTAGATTACCAAGTAAATTATGCTCATCAGGATATTTAGTTATAGAAGGCATGTTAAGTATATAATTGGGCATTTATTTTTATTTTTATTTTTATTTTCAGGGCGGCTTGAAGAAAAAAGTAATACTGTTGTTAAACTCAAAACCTCTCCTCCTTGTATGGCTCCTACAGAGAAACCTACAAACAATAACTTCTCACTTGTTCAAAAGAGTCCTTCTAAAAGTGTACCACATACCTGTTTTCCAGATATGTATATATCTGTTGAAAAACCAACAAGAGAAGAAAAGACAAAGAGTAAACCAGAAGAACTAGTTTCTATCATAGTCAAAGAGGGAGAAAAGAAAGATACTTATGAATCACTAGACTACAAAGCATTAACTATTGAACCATACACTACATCAGTAAGTCATAATGTACCTTTTGAACCTGGTAGAAAATATGAGGATAATTTGGATTCTTTGAGCAACTTTATCATTCTGAGAAACAAACATATGACCATCCTGTCAGAACCTCAAGTTATTATGGATGATAGCCAAAAAGAAGGTAAGGGAGTCTTTTAAAGCCCAACACTGTCATTTTTCCTCATTTCAAAATGATATTTTCAAGAACCTGATGAGAGAATTCATAGTATCATAAAATGGGAGGAAATCATATAATACAGTCAGATTGTAGAGTGGAAAGGAACAACTTTGTGATATTATTCTAATATATATTTACATATTTGAAGGTATAACTGATGGTATATACATGTGTAAAGAAAAACTTGTATATAACATTTTTCATACTATGCACATTTGTATGTAAATATATATGTGTGCTTATATATGTACACACATGCATATATACGTGCGTGTGTGTGTGTGTGTGTATAATTTGATCATCACAACAACTCTATGTGAAGAAGAATAGTAAGAGATAAGGTTGCCAGGATAGATAGAAGGTTTGAACTTCATTTTTTAGGCAATAGACTATGGGATGTTTTGTAGCAACTGTTCTGACTATTCTATCTTAGTAAAAATGTCTTTGCTAAGAGCTAATTGTAAGGGGTGGAGCCAAGATGGCCAAGTGAAAGCAGTGACTTGCTTGAGCTTTCCCCCAAACCCTTCCAAATACCTGTAAAAAATGGCTCTAAACAAATTCTAGAGCAGCAGAATTCACAAAAAGACAAAGTGAAACAAATTTCCAACCCAAGACAATCTGGATGGTTGATTGGAAAGGTCTGTCATGCTGGGCTAGGAGAGGAACGCAGTTCAGTGTGGGCGTGCAGGCAAAGACCAGGCCTCAGCTAACCTGGAGCAGCCCTCAGAGAACTGAATTACAGGCAGCTGTAGTAGTTTCCAGACTTCTCAACCCATGAACTACAAAGACAAGTCAGAAGGTCATTAGGAAAAGTCTGTGACCTCGGTGAGAGAGAAGCTCGGTCCTAGCCCCACTCCCAGTACAGTGCCGGGCCAGTCGCTGCTTCTGGAACTTCTGGCTCACAGACTGAGGGGGAATTGAGTGGCTGATCAGAGGGGGATTGCAGGTATCTCTTTGCTGGTGATGAGGCAGGATTCTCTTGCTTTGCCCGTGCTTAGATCTGGGTCACAGTTCTGGGTGGTGGTCCTGGGTTGAGGAGTTCCAAGGCAGAAAGGAGTGCTTGTGGTCACTCATAGACCAGAGTACAAGCCAGGAAAGGAGTAAACACCTCACCTTTGATCGTATCACCGTGGAAGAAATGAAAATTTACAGGTCCCTAGAAGTATCTCTGAAAACAGCTGCACAAAACCCCCGAAGCCTGGGACTACATTCTCTACACTGGAAGCAGACTCCTACCTTAACAAAGAGTTTAAAACTTAAGTAATTGTCTGGGAACATGAGCAAACTGTGCGGAAAAAAAGTCAGAACATAGAGTCTTTCTTTGGTGACAAAGAAGATCAAAACATACAACCAGAAGAAGACAACAAAGTCAAAGCTCCCACATCCAAAGCCTCCAAGAAAAAATGTGAATCAGTCCCAGGCCATGGAAGAGCTCAAAAAGGATTTTGAGAAGCAAGTAGGAGAAGTAGAGGAAAAACTGGGAAGAGAAATGAGACTGATACAAGAAAATCATGAAAAACAAGTCAACAGCTTGCTAAAGGAGACCCAAAAAATACTGAAGAAAGTAACACCTTAAAAAAATAGCCTAACCCAAATGGCAAAAGAGATCCAAAAAGTCAATGAAGAGAAGAATGCCTTACAAAGCAGAATTGGCCAGAGGGAAAAGGAAGTCCAAAAGCTCACTTAAAGAAAATACTTCCTTAAAAATGAGAATGGAGCAAATGGAAGCTAGTGACTTTATGAGAAATCAAGACATTGTAAAACAAAACTAAAAGAATGAAAAAATAGAAGACAATGTGAAATATCTCATTGGAAAAACAACTGACCTGGAAAATAGATCCAGGAAAGAGAATTTAAAAATTATTGGACTATCTGAAAGCCATGATCAAAAAAAGAGCCTAGACATCATCTTTCAAGAAATTATCCAGGAAAACTGCCCTGATATTCCAGAACTAGAGGGCAAAATAGAAATTGAAAGAATCCACCAATCTCCTCCTGAAAGAGATCTCCAAAGAAAAACTCCTAGGAATATTGTAGCCAAATTACAGAATTCCCAGGTCAAAGAGAAAATATTACAAGCAGCCAGAAAGAAACAATTCAAGTATTGTGGAAACACAATCAGGATAACACACGATTTAGCTGCTTCTACATTAAGGGACCACAGGGCATGGAATATAATATTCCAGAGGGCAAAGGAGATAGGATTACAACCAAGAATCACCTACCCAGCAAAACGGAGTATAATTCTTCAGGGGGGGAAATGGACATTCAGTGAAATAGAGGACTTTCAAGCATTCTTGATGAAAAGATCAGAGCTGAATAGAAAATTTGACTTTCAAATAGAAGACTCAAGAGAAGCATGAAGAGGTAAACAGGAAAGAGAAATCATAAGGGACTTATTAAGGTTGAACTGTTTCCATTCCTACATGGAAAGATGACATGTGTAACTCATGAGACCTTTCTCAGTTTTAGGGTAGTTGGAGGGAAAAAAAATTATGTATATATAGATAGAGGGCACAGGGTGAGTTGAAGATGAAGGAGTACTATCTGGAGAATAAAATTAAGGGGTGACAGAGGATTATGCTGGGAGAAGGAGAAAGGGAGAGGTAAAATGGGGTAAATTATCTCACATAAAACAGACAAGAAAAGGCCTCTGCAGTGGAGGGGAAACAGGGGAAGGTGAGAGGGAATGAATGAATCTTATGCTCATCAGATTTGGCTTAAGGAGAGAATAACATACAATCTCAACTGGGAATGGAAATCTATCTTACCCTACAGGAAAATAGGGGGGAAGGGGACAAGAGAGCAGGGGGATGATAGAGAGGAGGGCAGACTGGGGGAAGGGGTATTCAGAAGCAAACACTTCTAAGGAAGGACAGGGTCAAAAGAGAGAATAGAATAAATGGGGGAGGGCAGGATAGGATGAAGGGAAATATAGTTAGTTTTCTACAACATGACTACTATGGAAGTTTTTTGCATGACTACACATGTATAACTTGTATCGAGTTGCTTGCCTTCTCAATGAGGGTGAGTGGAGAAGGAGGGAGAAAATTTGGAACCCAAAGTTTTAAAAACAAATGTTAAAAATTGTTTTCACATGCACCTAGGAAATAAGATATAAAGGCAATGGGGTATAGAAATCTATCCTGCCCTACAGGAAAATAGAAGAGGAAGGGGATAAGAGAAGGGAAGGGGGTGGAGATAGAAGTGAGGGCAGATTAGGGGAAGGGGTATTCAGAATGTATACCGTCTTGGGGTGGGGGGAGGGGGGAGATGGGGAGAAAATTTGGAACTCAAAATCTTATGGAAGTGAATGTTAAAAACTAAAAATAAATAAATTATGATAGAAAAAAAGAGCTAATTGTATCTACTACCTGGTTGTTAATAGGAAGCACATAGATGGGAATAGACAGACAGACAGATAGATTAGATAGATAGATAAAGATACATAGGTATATATAGATATATATATATATATAAAACACAAAGTACTTTGCAAACTTTAAAGTTATGTATTTTTAGAAATAAAATAAAGCTAGCTATTATTAGCTATTAAACAACATTACAGGCCAAAGAATTACTAACTATACCTTGGACACAATGTGTCGGCATTCCTGCCTCCTTGCTTTGGCTCACAATGCCTTAAATATAATAGATAGTTAATAGGTGTTGGATTGTGTCACCTAACATTTGGTCAGTACTAGCAAATAAGATGTATTCTAGAGGAAATTAATAATCATAGTTTTATGTTATGTTGCAACTCTAACAGTATGGATTTATTCAATTCAGAATATATTTATTGAACACCCAGGGAGCATGTGTAAGTGAAAAAAGTGAGTATCACCCAAAGATTGACAGATCATTACTTCTTGGCAGAGATATTGGGGGTTGCTAATCCTGGATTTAGAATAGTACAAATGAATACAGAAATGTCAGCATCAAAGTTAACAAAGTGTTTGTTGGAATATAGTGACAATAATATATCTCAACACTAACAGTTTATAGAAAGTGCTGGGGGGGGGGGGGGGGGGGGGGGGGGGGGGGGGGCAGCGAGGTAGCGCAGTGGATGGAGCACCGGCCCTAGAGTCAGGAGAACCTGAGTTTGAATTTGGCCTCAGACACATGGCACTTGCTGGCTTTGTGACCCTGAGCAAGTCACTTAACCCCATTGCCTGGCAAAAATAAAATAAATTAAAAATTAAAAAAAATAGAAAGTGCTGAGGTTATCACTTTAAGCTCATTATTGACATAATAAACTGAGGGCCTTTTTTTACTATGTTATACTTTTGCTTTATTACTGGCAATCAATCAGCAAACATTTATTAAACATCTGCTTGGTGCCAGGCATTGTAGTAAGCAGTTAAAGATAAAGACAAAAGTGAAAACAGTCCCTGTCCTCAAGGAGTTTACATTTCAGCCAGGGAATACAGCTTGTCCATATATTGATAGATACAAGATGATTTGGTGCTAATGGCACCTGGGACAGTCAGGAATGCCTCAGTGTAGAAAGTGGTACTTAAGCAAAGTCTTGAAAAAACTAAGGATTCTCAGAGATAAAGATTAAGAAGTACTGAATTTTAGGCATCAGGGACAGCCTGTGCAAACACATGGAGGTAAGAGATGGATTATTTTGTGTGAGGAATAGCAAAGTCACTTTGGCTAGACCACAGTATGCATAGGTGGGAAAGTAGGTTGGGGCCAGGTTATGGGGGGGTTTTAAATGGCAAACAGAAGGGTATGTAGGTATGTATGCATATATAAAAGCTGTATAAATCAAAACTTCTAAAGATGAAAGTATCTTTCTAAATTTGTTAAATACAACATCACTATTGAGAGATTACATTACCATCTAGTGACTGTAAGAGGAATTGCACCTATAGCATAGATAAAACAGTTATTTTAGATCTAACCAATTTTCCTATTAAATGTCGTCACTGGGATGATGACTTTTATGGAGAATGCTAATTTTTTTTCTTGGTGAGGCAGTTGGGGTTAAGTGACTTGCCCAGAGTCTCACAGCTAATAAGTGTTATGTATCTGAGGCCAAATTTGGACTCAGGTCCTTCTGACTCCAGGGTCAGTGCTCTATCGACTGCACCACCTAGCTGCCCCAAGAATGCTAATTATACACCCAAAAATAAACTTGGTGAAATTTATTTTTGAGAATATACATATGTAAAACTGAAATATTCATTATAGGATAAGTTACATAGTTCTATTTTAAATATTTCATTATTAATATATTTTTTAAATGACAAATACTATTAAGTATAACACTTTTAGCCAAAAATGTTTTCATGCCAAAAATTAGTTTTATATCACCTAAATATCAGCACCATATTATAGTAATACAGTGTGTCATATTTCTTTTGAATTCTCCCTCATTGTATCTAGCATAGCTACAAACACTGTAGGTAAAATATGGATTATAGATCTAAAAGAGACAGTAGAGTCCATTTAGTCCAACTCTCTTCCTTGACACCTGAGCAAATAGATGCCCAGGAGAACTTAAATGACTTGCGTAAGGGACAAGATTTGAACCCAGCTCCTCCCCTATTATAGAAATATAACGAATCTTAGAAATCTTTCAGTTCAATCTCCCATTTTAAAGATGAAGAAACTGAGGCTCACAGAGATTACTTGCTTAATATCCCATAGCTAGTTATTTCCAAAACTAGAGCTAGAAGTCATAACATAATCCATCACCCTTCATTCTATGTTACCTCAGTCTTCTAATTTCAGATCCAACTTTATTCACCTTGCTGCTATCGTATGCCAAAGTTTGTATGTTGATTTAATTTGGAACATCTTATGATATTCACAGATTTTCCTGACCTTCTACAATAGATATTGGTACATAAACTGAAATTATCTTCATGATAGTATTTTTGCAAGTATTTATCATGAAAGTAACAAGGCAGTATGTATAATTATCCCATGAAATGAGGGTTCTTGTTGCCTTTGGGTGCATGATAAAATCAAGTGCTTTATTTGCTTCTCCAAGGAAAACCCATGAGCAATCTTTCTGTTTAGCTATAACGTCATTTTGTCCTTTAGTTTAATTTATAATGAGAAAGTCAGTATCGGTATGATTCACTTCCTCTAGTAATATATCCATTCATTGGACAAAGAGTTCACATTTAGAGCAGTTAGCATTTACATAGTAATTTATATTGTCTTAGCACCTTCTGCCCCTTTTTCCTGTCTTTTTTTTTTTTTTTTTACCATTACCACAGAAGCAAATAGGGTTACTTAGGCTGAAAACTATTTTATCTTTTCCTTTGTTTCATGAGTTGCCATGAAGGGTATAGTGTTTAGAGTACTGGGCCTGGAGTCAGGACGATCTAAGTTCAAATGTGAACTTAGATATTTACTAGCTATGTGACCCTGGGCAAGTCACTTAACCTCTGTCTCAGTTTCCTCAACTATAAGATGAGGATAATAATAACATCTACCTCTGAGGGTTTTTGTGAGGATCAAATGAGAGTATTTGTAAAGTGCTTAGCACATTGATTGGCACATAATAGGTGCTATATAAATGTTTATTCCCTCCCCTTCTCCATAAGCAAAGAAGTCTTATTGTCTAGCTGCTAGTGATTGTCCAACTAATTGTCCAGCCTGCTAGTGATAAGCCTCTCCATACTTAACTAGACTGGACTCCAGAAAGCAAACACGATTTTTCACAATCACAGAGGCTGTTGCTAGAAGTATTTCCAGCATGGTGGAACCTATCAGAACTTGAGCTTTGCTGGCCTAGCTCTTGAGAACTAGCCACCCCTTCTCCATAATGAAACATCCGAGTTTTACTTCATTACTGCTTGAGAAATACTCATTGAGTTGAATTTAATATTCATGAATTTTAATGATCTTGGAAGGGTTATAATCTTTTGATAAAAAGTATTGCTTATTTAAGTGATTTATGTATGACATGAGTTTTTCCTGAACAACATACAAATTTACTGTGTTTTAGAATCCAGAATGCAAAGCAAAGAGTATACTCTGACTCTTGAAGAAGAGAATTCTACTGTTTGTAGAGAGCTGTCCCCTGAGAAAAATCAAGAAAAGGAGATGAATAATGTCACTGAAGTTCAAGCAACTGGTGTGTTATAAATTTTAAAGTTTATTTAACCTTAAAGTACTTCACTAGGATGGCCAAGACTACCTTTATTTATCATGTCTACCACTTTCCTTCATTTGGTTCAGCTCTGCCTAGTCAAAGTCCCTTTCATCTATTCACTGTTAGCACCTTCAAGCTTTCTCTTCAGTTGTTCTTTATGCCTGGAATGCCATCCCACCAACTCATCTCTCTCCTATCATTTAAACACATTCCTACATTTGTCCTAGAAAATAAAACCATTAGTTGCCTCTGCTAATTTTGGAAATGAAATTTCATGGCTGTTCTGTCTTATCGTTTACCCTTGATTTGTGTTTGGTTAAAATAACTTACTATTGGTTCACAGTATCAGATTAAGATTATTATTCTGTTATCCATGTCACAGTACCTATCTTAGATTTTAAATATATAGGAGAGGGCAGATAATAAGACTATATAATAATCTTTGTACAGTGCTATGTGGAATTAGATAATTAGTAAATGCATTCTAAGAATATGATAATTATTCTGTTGTAAACCTATCTATAACTAATTTAGATTCGGGGTTTTTTTCTTCATAATCCTGAATTATTGTAGAAAATATACTTCTCATAAAAGAAGTCTCTCATGGTCCCTCGCCTAGAGAAAATTAAGGTCTCATAAAAGAAGTCTCTCACGGTCCCTTGAGGGCTTTCATGGTCCCTTGCCTAGAGAAAATTAAGATTTCAAGGACAAGAATATTGATGGTATCATGATGAGTTTTTTGAAAAGTAATATAGTTTTTTAGTTGATCAACAAGAGAGTAGCACCTATCTAACAAGTACCAACCCCTGACTTTTCCACTTTTGTTTTTTGCCAGATAGCCAGTGCCAGGCATACAGTGTCTTAGAAGCGATAGCTACTCCTTTATTGAAAAAACTTGCTTGCCATGATAATCTTCCTACATCAGACTGGAAATTTGCCTGTCTTGGCTTTGACCAAACGAGATTTTTCTTAAAGGAGCAAGAAAAAATGATAAATGACATTTTTCTTCAAGGTGAGTGAAAGTATAAGCTATATTCCTTTAAATATACAGATAGATGCTTATATATACAGTATATATACATTAGTAAGGTTACTTTATCTACCAATAACTTCAGTGTTTCATAAATTTCTATAACTGAAAAATCCACCAACTAGTGGCCAACCTAGAATTCTAGGTTGATCCTCAGATAGCAGACGTGCCACTTATTGTCAGGCCTATACTTAAAGCCTTTGTAGTGCCAGAGAGTTTGTAGTCAGAGAATTTGGAGTCAGAGAAACTGGATTCTAATCCCGGTTCTGCCATTTACCTACCTGTGGGATCTTGGGCAAGTCCCTTAACCTCTTTGGGACTCAGTAACCATTTGTATAAGATGAGAGTATTAGACTAAATAACCTTATAGGTTTCTTCTAAATCTAAATCTGTGCTCCTCTGATTGTATGTATATATGCATGTACATCTAGAATAACTAATACTTATAGAGTGCCTTAAGGGGTGTGTGTGTGTGTGTGTGTGTGTGTGTATGTGTGTGTGTGTGTGTGTGCTTTATCAACTGTATATAGTTGCATATAGTTCTAATTTTTTTAGAGAAGTGTTGCATATATTACCTATAGTTCATGAAGGCACAATCCTGGTTAAGCCTAGTGATACTAGAACATCAGCCATCCACCAAGCTGCAGAATGAAGAGAAGGTAAAACCGCTCAACTCTTAACTTTGCTTCTTTTTTCTTTTGACCAAGGAGAATAACCTTTGAACTGGAAAGGGTGGAAGAAAAATAGCTAACAGGGAGCTGAAATCCCATGTTTACAAGGCAGTAGTAAGAGAATTGTCTGCTCTAGACATGTTCAAGTCACCTGGTCCAGACAGATTACATTCTATGATACTGAAAGAACTGGTGGATGTGACTGCTGAGATGCTATTGTAGCTATTAGTTAGCAGTCTCTGAAGCACCAGGAGAACAAGACAGGGGCTGCAATACCGAAGATAGGAAAATGTCCTGATTTTCAAGAAAGACAATGGAATGTATAGATTTTCAGCTAATGAGCTTGATGATAGTTTCTGGAAAAAATTCTAGAATGTATTATTAAAGAAATGGTTAGTGAATATTTAGAAGCGGAAACTTCTCCCATATTGAACACATCAGAACAACTTGGGGATAAGATCTACTACTACCAAAGGTCCCTTCTTCCATTGCTTTCCCCCTCTGCCTTGCCCCAGGTCATTCCATAACCCATAGAGGTCAGTTCAGTAGCTGAAAGACCTGCTATCACTGGGAGTTCCTTGAGTCTTTGCCTTCCCGCTTCAACAGTCACAGCCATTCAAAAACCATCTAAGTTGTTTGACTATTCCCACAGCTTAGATGAAATGGGAGTCACCAACTTTATTCCTTTTGGTGAGATAGAGGAACATCTGCCCTGCCACTACATCTTAAGTTCCTTTAGGCTTTACCATCTACCCTGCCACTAGGTCCTGCAAACCCATAATACTGTTATTTGATCGAATGATTTGATCTAAGGTCTTATCATCCATCTACCCCATTGCTGCATTCTTAGGACTTCCAGCACTTTCCATTCCCTAGTAGCTGAACTTTGTTTTCTGTGTTGTTTTCCCCAGTAAATGTATGAGTGGTTTGACAGTAGAGGCTCAATTTTTCTATGTGTCCTTTGCATTTAATGCCATGCATGGTGCATAGTAAATGTTTAGCAAATGCTTTTTTTTAAACCTCTTTTATTTTGTGAATTAAAATTTATTTTTTCCATTAACAGCATTTATTTCCCTCCACTCACCCTCCACTGAAAAAAGAAAAACAAAACCCATGTAACAAATATGCAAAATCAAACAAAACAAAATCCCACGTTGTCCATGTCCAAAAAAATTTATGTCTTATTCTACATAATAAATCTCTCATCTTTATGTCAGGAGGTAGGTATTATACTTTATCATTCATCCTCTGGAATCACAGTTGATCATTGCGTTGATTAGATATTCTATGTCTTCCAATGTTACTCCTTTTCACATTGTTGTTATTGTATAAATTTCCCTCATGGTTCTGATCACTTCACTCTACATCATTTCATAAAATTATTCCCAAGTTTCTCTAAAACCATCCCCATCATCGTTTCTTACAGCACAATAATATTCCATTACATTCATATACCATACTTTGTACTTTGATGGGCATCCCTGTAGTTTCCAGTTCTTTGTCACTACAGAAAGAGTTGCTATAAATATTTTTGTCTGTATGGGTCCTTATCTTCTCCCTTTGGGGTATAGACCTATTAGGGCGTAGTTCCAAATTGCTTTCCAGAAAGGTGGGTCAACTCACAGTTTTACAAACAGTACATTAATGTGCCAGTTTCCCCATACCCTCTCCAACATTCATTATTCTCCTTTTTTGTCAATTTTCCCAATCTGATGAGTGTGAGATAGCACCACCTTTCCATATAGCTACAGGTAGCTTGGATATCTTCCTTTGAAATTGCTTTTAAGATCCTTTGAGCATGGCTCTAATTTGCATCAGTTCCTCATATATCTCGGACATGAGACCTACATCAGAGAAATTTGCTACAAAGATTTTTTTTCCCAATTAACTGTTTCCTTTCTAATCTAAGTTGCACTGATTTTATTTATCCAAACCTTTTTAAATTTATGTAATCAAAATTGTCCACTTTTACTTCTTGTGATCTTCTCTATCCCTTGTTTGGTCCTGGGTTCTTCCCCACTTCATTGATCTAAAAAGTAAATCCCAATTAAAAATCAATATAGAAATTCTGAAAATCAAAAAAATATTCACTCAAAAACACTAAAAAACAAACAAACAAAAAGTAGTGTTCAATAAGCCCAAGAGCATAAGCTACGTGGGATGAACTCCCTATTTTACAAAAATTACTAGAGAAATTGGAAAACATTTTGGCAGAAATTTGTTTTAGATCACATCTTATACCATGCTTGTCACCTGTGATCCTGGGGGGACCCATTCCCAAAAGGAAGTTTGCCTACTAAGGATTTACACAGACTGGTATCAATCCTGGAGAAGGACTGATCCCAAAGAGAGGAGTCAGTCTTTTCTCATACTTCTGGCTCTTTATCTCCCAACACTAGAGTTCTGGGGAAAAGCCCTTAAACATGCCTTGTCCCTGGGGTCTCCCCTAAAAAGATTAACAAAGCTCTCTTCTAGAAAAGGTACTCAACGTACAACATAGATAGAAGATAGCTGTATATTTCTTCTTATTGTTCAGTCATGTCTGACTCTTCATGATTCCATATAGAATTTTCTTGGCAAAGATACTGGAGTGTTTTCTCCAGTGGATTAAGGCAAACAGAGGTTAAGAAAATGACTTGCCTAGGATCACACAGCTAGTAAGTGTCTGAGGCTATATTTGAATTCAGATCTTTCTGACTTCAGGCCCAGTTTTCTATCCATTGAGCCACATAGCTGCTATATTTCTTTTACCACTGAAGAAATGTCTAAAACTCATAAACACACATTAACAAATATCTAAAACATGAAATAATAGTTGATCGCTTATTACACTCTCTGAAAGATAAAGGTATTTGGAGCTACTGAAGTGATATTTCACTTTTGTCTCTGACCAGCACTGTCTCTGCAGCTCACAAGTCCAACACTCTAGGCAAGCCAGGGGATAACTTGGACTCTCTTAGTCTTTCCAGCCGTATCATCCCCCTGGTGGAAGTACACCTTCTCTTCTGAAAAACAGTGTAGTTGCAGGAAGCATCTCTTGCTAGGCTTCAGCACTGACTCATCACGCTCATGAGGTAATAGCCAAGCCTAAAAACATCTATTTCTCAGTGACCTGTACTCATCCGACGAACAAAAAGAAAATACAGTCAGGGACTTAAAATTCAATCCCAGACTTGACAAAGCATGCACATGTATTCTTATTGCCACATGCTTGCAGACACCAGTGGTCACTGGAGGTGGGAAAGAGAAATCCAAGGGAGAGTCTCAAACAATGTCTTCAGAATTAAAGAAGACAAAGGGAGAGACAAAGCCTTTATCCTCCCCTTTTATAGCCTAAGTGGGTGATTTTAACTGGCTCAGTTATCAGTCATCTTTAACACAAGCTTTCCCCCATATCAATCATGGCACCCAAAAAGAGGTAATTTCAGCATCCCAAAATGTAAGCTAGAGCATATGTCCAGCCTCATGGAGCCTGAGCATGCAGCCTAGATCCTTGGGAGGTGTCCCATTCCAGCAAATTGGGAGGAAAGGGAGCATATCTCCTAATTATACCTATTAAAAGCTCAAAAATGTATATACTACCCAAATATAAAGGCTCTCACAATTTTAAAAAATTAGAGAATTAAATCACATACCACAGTTATGGCTAAGATGAAAATTCTTAAGCAATCAAGTATTAGAGAAGATTGCAGATGATGAAATGGATAATTCCATTTTTAGTTATATGAAATTGAAGAGCTTTTGCACAAACAAAATCAGTGCAGCAAGAATAAAAAGAAAAATGTGAATTGAGAAGAAAAATCTTTGCATCAAATATCTCTAATAAGAGTCTAATACCCAGATGATACAGTAGATAGAACACCCCAGGCCTGGAGTCAGTTCAAATCCAGCCTCAGACACTTACTAGCTGTGTGGCACAGGCAAGTCACTTAACTTCTTTTGCTTCAGTTTCCTCATCTGAAAAATAGGGATAACAATAGCACCTACTTCCCCACGTTGTTGTTAGGTTCAAATGAGATATCTGTTAAGCACTTAGCAGTGGCACATAGAAAGCACTATATAAATGTTACCTTTTATTATTATTATTAGAATGAGTGGTAATATATAAGAACAAGATTCATTCCTCTAGTTGCTAAGTGGTTAAAAGGTATGAACAAACAGTTCTCAAAAGAAGGACTACAAATTATTAGCAGTTATTTTAAATTTCTCCAAATCACTAACAAATACAAATCAAAACAACTCTGAGGTTTTACTTCATACTCAGCAAATTAGCAAAGATGAAAAAAGTTGGAAATGATGTTGGAAGTACTGTGAGATAATAGGCGTACTAACTTGCCATTGTCAGAGCTGTAGTCCAAATACTTTGGAAAGCAGTTTGAAATCACATTTTTAAAAAGTTATTAAAATGTCTGTCTTTGACATAGGAATGCCAGTGCCCCAAAGAGGTTAAAGACAGAAATTAAGGTGAGGGGTGTGGGTGTGTATGTGTGTGCATGTGTGCATATATGTATATATTTATACATACACAACATACTTATACACACGTATATGCGTAAAATATTCATAGCAGCAGTTTTTCTGATAGCAAAGAATTGTAAACAAAGTAGATCCCCATTATTTGAAGAATGGCTAAATAAATTGTGAGACATGCATGTAATAGAATATTACTGTGCTGTAAGAAACCATGAATAGTAAGATTTTCAAGCAGCCTGGAAAGACACATGAACTTACTTGGAGTGAAATAAGTAGCCAGAAAAACAATATATCTAATGACTACAACAATGTAAAAAGAACCAAAAACCAAAACTGAGTGTTATATAATAGTAGTATCTAAGAATGGCCTTTGGAGAAGGATTGAGAAAATGCATCTCTCTTTTTTCTTTTAAGAGGTGAGATACTATGACTGTGGAATATTGCATATATATGCTGAGACAGAATTGATATGTTATTTGGTTTTGCAGAATTGCTTTTTTGTCTTTCTAAATCTTTGTTACAAGGGATGAATTTCTGGGGAGGGGAGGTAGGAAGTCTATATTCAGGAATAAAGATGACAAAAAAATCAATAAAAATAAGATGTTTAAACAGAATATATCTATAATTTTACTTGGAATAAAAGTTTAGCTCATGAGCTAGGGTTACTCCACACTCTTCACATTTTTGAGGATTAAAACAACAGTCCTGGAGCAGCTAGGTGGCACTGTGGATAGAACACAGGCCCTGAAGTCTGGAGGACCTGAGTTCAAATCCAGCTTCAGACCAAATACTTGACACTTACTAGCTGTGTGACCCTGGGCAAGTCACTTAACCCCAATTGCCTAACAATAAAAAAAAAACCACAACAGTCTTAAGACACCTCTCTTATCCTATACACCCAAAGATCAGTAACAGCTCAGCAGTTACATCTGTGAGGGTTTCTTTAAGCACTGTAATTCACCCAAGTCTTCTTACTTGAATAGATTAAGAGCAACTAAATGCTTTTATCATCTCATTTATCTTGAGTTTCATTCTGAGGTGACCATTTTTGTTCTGTCCTTTCTAATCAAGAGATCATTCTCCTTGCAACAGAAGAGAAGAACAAAATAAAAGGTCTGAGTTAGTCTGTTTTCTCACTGTCATCTGTTATTATCATCATCTCTTCTAACTCTGAAGTCTTCTTTGATCTTTCTCTTGCTCTCAATATAGTTTTAAAAAAAAAGCTGTTGAAATATCAAAGAAAATAGAAAATCTCAATTACCAGAAGACTACTCTTTATGAAAAGAAAGAAGACTGCAACAGAAGCAGAACATTATCTATTAATATAATTTAATGTGATTTCTACTGCTCACAGATTTGGGATTATTTTAATATAGACTGAGTTTTTGAAGGTTTGTAGAGTTATAGAGCACAGTGGTAATTGTCATACTAAACACAGGGCCAAGTGCCGCTTAAATATAATAGTACAACTGGGTCCTCTCTTCTCCAGCTTTCTAACCCTAGCGGCAGAGACTAACTTAACCCCTACTTATAGACTCCATCCTGCCACAGGTACTAGAGTCAAGCCTATTTACTGGCTAGATTTCATTCTCAAAGACCAAGCCTTAAACACAATTCACTCTTGGAGACCTTAGATTGGACAACAGTAAGTCCCTGCCCAAGCACCACTTAATGGTTCTTTTTGGGGCCCTCCAGGCTCTGAGTGAATGTAAATAGTAATTGTTTTTCTTTTGGCCAGCAACCCTAAGGGCTTTCCCTTCTCAGTTTGATTTTTTTTTTTTTTTATTAAAGGGGCCCTTCCTTGACTCACTTCTTAAATAGGTCTATTCACTGAATGGGTGTTACCTCACTCAAAGTGAGAACCTGAAAAGACCTTAGCTTAAAAAGACCAGGGTCTCCCATTGCATCCTGGTCCATCTCAGGTCATCCTGATGAAGATATGGCCACTGGACCCAGATGGCTCTGAAGGAGAAAGTGAGGTTGGTGACCTTACACTGCCCTCCCTCACTCAAATCAAAGTCAATTGTAAGTCATATCATCAGCTCCCTGATGTGATGGTCCTCATTGAGAACAAAGGACAAACACAACAACAATCCCCAACTTTATCAAGTGAGTATAGCTGCTGACTTGATTCTTATCACTGTATCCAGGATTCTCAGGAACTAGCTTCCTTCCTTATTTTTCAGCCCTTTAATAATTGAATTTTCTACCCCTAACTCCCATTCTCTCTGTGACTGAATGTCACTTCTGTCAATCATTTGCCTTCTTAAGCCTAACTATGGCTAGTGGTATTGTGTATTCTACCTTTCATTTATCACTTTCTCTAATTAGGGACCTACTTGCAGATTCCAGTCACTGCTTCCATATTCCTAAAATAGCAGATCCCTGGCTAACCCTTTGCATTTTCCTAGGTAGCTAGCTGGTCTGGACCTGTGATCCAACCCAACCACTTAAGCCCTACTTATCTCTTTATATCCCTCTTTTTTGAACAACAAAGGCTCATTTGACATTTTAATTTTTCAATTGGCTTGGGAAGAATTAGGAAGTATATATTTTAGAAACAGCATGTATGTAAGATTTAAGCATTTATATGTGTGTTCTAACATGTATATATAAACATATTTTTTTTATTTAGATAAAAATGATGAAAGAGAAGTAATATTGAAACAAGCAGCACTGGTCCATCTGTTGGTAACAGTTCGAGATCTTCTCTTAATGTGTACCTTGGACACAGCATTGGGTTAGTTGAAAAGTAATTCATTTCTTCATTTTTTACCTTATCCAAGTAAGACATCTTTTAACCCAGAAGTATCATTTAAAATGTCCTCATTTTATTGAAATGTGGATATTTTCCAGGAAATTTTGTAACACTTTCTTAATATAATCTATATTTTGTTTGTATTTCTAAAACTACTAAAAATAGACATTTGTATGTTATTCTTTTAATTGTATTTGAATTGGCTAACATTTTTAAATGAAAAATATTATATCTAATAATTTGAATCACAAAAGAGCCCAAGGAAGTCCCTAAGCCAAAGGTGAATATATAGAAGCATACATTTATAATTTTCATGCTGGCTTTTAACAGCTAACATTAATATTTTGCCTTACAAATTGAGCCAACAAGAATTTACTAAGCATACTAGAACTACAAAGGTAAAACATAGTCCCTGTTCTCAAAGAGTTCACAATCTAATAGTAAAGACTACATACAAACAAGATATATATAAATTGGAAATGACCTAAGAAGGAAAGCACTGACATTAAGGGGGCTCAAGAAAGCCTTCTTACAGAAGGTAGAATTTTAGCTGTAAGAAATCAAGGCATTAGGAAATAGATATGAGGAATAAGAAAATTCCAGACATGGGGTATTTACAGTGAACATTCCTCCTTGTTTTTCCTTGAAAGATGGAATATTATGGTTCAAGGAAAAATGAGGAGGCAATTACAGATGTTTAATAAATATTTGTTGATTTGCTATTTATCATTTAGGTGGAGTATGCACAAAATATAGGCAATTTCCTATTTATCAAGTAACAATATCTTGATTTAGCCATATTTATGTTAATAATAGATTAGAGTATACATAATAGGAATGATAAAGCCAAATCATTTTTTACATTTCACACTACACAAAGAAGAATGTTTCTAAAATATCGAGACTATGAAACTGGTTTTACAGTGCTTTATACTGTTTACCCAGAGATTTTACGTGTATATATATATATATCTATATAGATACATATATTTCTCTCTCTATATATATATATTTTTAGGCAATTGGAGTTAAGTGACTTGCCCAGGGTCACACAGCTAGTAAGTATCAAGTGTTTGGTCTGAGGCCGGATTTGAACTCAGGTCCTCCTGACTTCAGGGCCAGTGCTCTATCCACTGTGCCACCTAGCTGCCCCATTTTAATAAATATGTTCTAATAAGGTATAAAATTTATATAAGGCATAATTTACAATAAAGTATGTAATGTAATTTATAATTTACTTTGCTTCACATCTAATGACTGTGATGCCAGCATGCCTCTAAATATAACCTAAGTTTTAAAAATAAATTAGAGCCAGGAATGGTGGCACATGCCTGAAATCCCTGCTGCTAGGCTACAGCTAGTGGATTGTTTGAGTTTCAGAGTTCTGAACTGCACTAAAAATAAAACTCATCCACTGACTACACTAAGTGGGGCATAAATATAGTGAGCCACAAGGATGAAAGGTGGAGCACTATGCTGCCTAAAGAGGGATGAATTGGCCCAAGTTGGAATCAGCACCTTAAAGTTGCTGTACCAATCAGCACTGGTGTTGGTTTTATTAGTATTTATTAGTAGTCACTGTACTTCTAGCCTGAGTGAGATGGGGAGACCCAGTCCCCAAAAATAATAGTAATAAAATAAATAAAAATAAATTAGAAAACAATATAATTCAAGAAAGTGATCAGATTAATTCTGAATTTACTGTCAGTAGGCTAGGCTGATTCCAATAATGAGTTGCTACTCAGATGTTTTCCTAAGGTTGTCCACAGGGCCCTAGGTGTAATACCTTTTTTTCTCCAGAATTCAGTTTTTCTCTAAAAATATGAAAGATTAAAGTACTATAGATGTGTTGCAATATGACTATAAATAAATTCTGTAAAAAATATGAAAGGATAGTTTAGGCATATAGGCTAGATACTCTCTTTAACTTACCTAATAGAATATTCCTCTCATAATTCTTTCCTTCGCCCAATTTTAGTTTGTTTTTTTTTCTTTAAGATGGACTAAGACATCTTTTTATACCTTCACTGTTTTCAAGTTTTCCATTAAAAATGAAAAATAATCACAAAAATTAAAGTAAACATCCAATGACTTTTGTTATTTTTTTCCTCTTAGTTTCCTGTTTGCTTGCTACAAAAAAGATTTATGTAATCATTCTTTTTCATTTGGTTTATAACAGGATATTTACTGAAAGCAAAAGATGTCTACAAAAGCATGCTAGGTTCCTGTTTGGATATTATTTGGAAACAGCTTGAGATTGTACAGTTTATCAGGAAGAAAAAGCCTGAAACCAACCACAAAGAACAACAATTATATTGTCTGATGTTACATTTGGTACAAACGAACAATACAGAAGAACATCGATTTAAGGTTAATAACTTCTATAAAATGTTCTTTAAGCAACTGCAATTCAAATTCAGATTGGCTGCCAACATTTCTTAGTTCAAATAATCAACTTATGAGACAAATTTTAAATTCACCTTTTAAATTAGGAAAGAGATTACTTAGAAGTGTTGTGAACTATTGAGGAAATTTAAGTACTGAAAGAAGTCACTTAATTCATATGAGAAATTTTCTTCCCATGACTTATTTTCTTCCCTAACTGACTTATTTTTCCATTTTGGCACAGAGTGACTTAGTGAAAATGTGGTTTGCATTCTAGGGCAATGTCATCATTTACAATGAAAAAAGAATGACTTTTACTCTCAGCATTTTTATTAGTTTCCTTATGTGGGATACAGAGTTGCATAAAAGAATCAGAATATTCCAGTGAGTACAAGTCTCATCAATGTCACTTATCAGCTGTGTGGCCATGAGGAAGATGCTCAACGCCTCTGAATTTCAGTTTTCTCATCTGTAAAATGCAGAGAATAAAACTTATATTAGCAACTTCAATTGGATTGTTATGAGGAAAGAGCTTTTTAAGTTACAAAGTGCCACATTAATATGAGAAGTTGTTATTCAAATTACTTCTACACTTTATGGTTACCCAAGTATCTTACACATGTAATTTCATTCAGTCCTCAAAACTCTATGCATCAGGTAGTGCAGATATCATCCATATTTTACAGATGATGAACCAGATGACACAAAATTAAATAACCTTGCCCAATGTCAGTCACATAGCTGGTACCCAAATTGCAAGTACAAATGTTTTCCCCAAATACATAAACACTTATAATAATTTCTTATGATTACCTGATAGGGGTTTCATTAGATTCACATTGTTGTTGTTTAGTCAACTGGTCGTGTCTCACTCTTTGTAACCTCATTTGGGGTTTTCATGGCAAAGATACTGGAGTGGTTTGCTGTTTCCTTTTCCAGCTCATTTTATAGATGAGGAAACTGAGGCAAACAGGGTTAAGTGATTTTCGCAGGGTCACATAGCTAGTAAGTGTCTGAGGCTGAATTTGGACTCAAGAAGATGAATCTTCCTGACTCCAGGGCTGGCACCCCAGGGCAATCCACTGTGCCACCAAGCTACCCCTACATTAGATTTATGTCCTATACTTATTTAGATGAATTGGATTTGTGATGTCATTGATGTGCATAGTAGTTCTACTGGTGTGGATTATAACCTCTCCATACCTCATTATCCTGTGCACTTTTTTATTCTTATATTTCCATAATTCCTCTACAAAGGAACTATCTACATCAAAGAAGGCCTTTGAGTCTTAACTTTATTGGTGGCACCGCACCAATGTGGCACTCGAGCCATATGTGGCCCCTCATTTTTACCACATGACTGACACCCTTCCTTTTCTGGTCATACATATCCTTGATGATGCCTTTTATGCCACTTCCTACTTAAAGTTAATTTTGGGTAATATATTACAGCTAACATACAGCCTCCATGGGTTTTTCATTGTCTTTTGGTTAGAGAGCTGAGCACAAAATAGAGACCTAAGAGCAAACCTGGTTCTCCAGGAGGCAAAAAAATCTGTGTATCCTCATAGCTGTCCTTCTAGGAGCTGCTAATGGCAGCCTTTGATGGGCAGAGATAGAAGCATATTTCAGCTGTATGTGTTTTCACCCATTAGACCAGAGAGGAGGCAATAGTGAGGTTTTTCAATCACATGGCCTCTAGAGAAGATGAACTTGTGACCTAGCTTCCTGGATAGAGGAGAGGACATTTCCTAGATTAATGATGAATTCTAGAGAAGTTCCTGGATCCAACCTTCTTGTTAGAGAAGGGAGAATTTCTTGCTTCCTAGAGAGGGAAGGGAAAATTCCTGAACAGCACCAGCCTCTTGGAGAGAAAAGGATCATATATATGGCACTGAAACTAGAAGAGCAACAAAGAACTGAGTCACAAAATGAAGATGCAGAAAAAATGGACTTTTCCTCCACTGCTACCATGAACTATTTGATCAATGCAGACCTGATAGGAAAGGAATTGTGTCTCTAGCAACCACAAGTTCATTCCTTCCAGGAGAATTCCAAATCCTTAGTACCAGTAGTACCATAAGGTTAGAAGTTTGTATAAGTTCTTGAGTGGGAAAGATATCTGGCAGAAGGTGGGATTTGAGCTAAGTCTTGAATGAAGACAGGGAAGTCAGGAGGTGGAACATACCAGGCATGGGAGACAGCCACCGAAAAGGCATGGAGTCAGAAGACTCCATTGAGAAGAACAGTAAGAAGTCCAGTGTAGCTGGATTCTAGAGTGGAAGACTGATGAATCTATATAAACACATACAAATTAATGAAAGTCTAAACCACTGAGGCTTAGCAGCTCTGTGGGAACCTTTTTATTATTCATATAAAAAGATAAAATATTAACAGTTAATTGATTATAACACGTTACACGAGCAGGTTACATAATCCTTTCGTTGTTCTGCCCAAAGGTAGCAAGCTTTCCTGTAGTCCTTCAGGACAGCAATGTCTAAGCTGCTTGTAGCACTGGTGGTAACACTGAGCTTCAAGAAGTACAACAGTATAGCAGACCTAGAGTCCTCATGCCACCTAAATTTAGCTATCCCTAAAACTTCACTAAGCATCAAAGTGATTGTTATATTGGCTGACAAGTGTTCTGTGTTGGTGTTAGTGACAGGGTTCAACCTGACAGGCTCCTCATGAACTGTTCTTTGATTTGTATTCCTATTCAGGTTTTCCCCCAGGAGCATGAGAATATAATGTCAAGGTCTCTGCACATGTGGGTTAAAGGGTACTTAGCTCCCATGCAAGCACTAAGTGAATTATTTTTATCCATCCGTACATCCATCCATCATCCATCTATTCTCTCTTTCTTTCTTTCTATCTATCTATCTATCTATCTATCTATCTATCTATCTATCTATCTATCCATCCATCTTTCCATCTGGGCCTGGAGTCAGGAAGACCTGAGTTCAAATCTGGCCTCAGACTCTTACTAACTGTGTAACCCTGGGCAAGTCACTTAACCCTGTTTGCTTTAGTTTCCTTGTTGGTAAAATGAGCTGGAAAAGGAAATGGAAAACCACTCCGGTATTTTTGCCATGAAATCCCCAAATGAGATCCTGAAGAGTCAGTCATGACTAAAATGACTGAACAACTACATTATATATATATATATATATGCAAACATATATACATATATGATATGTAAATTTAATTTATCCTTAATTCACTCCTTGAAAAGAATACAAAAAATAAAAAAGAACACATAAACAGTCAAGGATAACCAAGGCATACTGGTAAATGTTTAACAACTGGCTGTCCCTCCAAAAAAATATATTCTAGACATGCTTTTAAATTTAAACTGCATTATTATTTTCTCCATCACCTTAAGTATAGACAATCAACAAGACAATAAATCAAGCCCAGATTTGAGGTGTTTGCCAATTTCTAAGGTGTAAATGTTCCCACTGAAAATGTAACAATAATCTCTGGAGAGCAGATCTGCAAAACTCTCAGTTTTTCCTCTACTTGTCTTACTTGCTTCTCAAAATTCCTTTTGAGCTCTTCCAAGGCCTGGGACTGATTCATATTCTTCTTGGAGGCTTAGGATATAGGAGCTTTGGCTTCGTTGTCTTTTTCTGATTTTGATCTTCTTTGTCACCGAAGTAAGATAATATAGTCTGACTCTTTTTGCGCTGCTTACTCATGTTCCTGGCCAATTACTTGAGTTTTAAACTCTTTGTTAAGGTAAAACTCTGCTTCCAATGTGGAGAATGTACTGTCCCAAGTTTCAGGGGTTTATACAGCTGTTTTCAGAGATTCTTCTAGGGACCTGAAAATTTCTAGTTCTTCCAAGGTGCTATGATAAGGGGCGAGGTGTTTCTCTCTTTTCTCTCCACCACCATAAGAAGCTTCACCATACCAGCATTCCTCCTCACCCCAGGACCGCCCCTCAGAACTGTGACCCAGATCCAAGCACCAGTAAAGCAAGAGATTCCTGCCTCAGCACTGGCAAAGAGATCCCTGCAATCCCCCTCTGATCAACCACTTGATTCCCTCTCAGTCTGTGGGCCAGAAGCTCAGGGAACAGTGGCAGCCCCCAGGGACAGCTGGGACCTAGCTCCTTCTCTCACCACAGTCACAGACTTTTCCCACTGACCTTCCAAGTTGTCTTTGGCGTTTGTGGGTTGAGAAGTCCGGAAACCACCACTGCTGCCCACGATTCAGCCCTCTGAGGCCTGCTCCAGGGTGTCTGTGGCCTGTGCGCCCATGCCGAACTGCACTCCTCTCCCAGCCTGGTGCGATATACCTTTCTGATCAATCATCCAGGCTGCCTTGGGCTGGAAATTTGTTTCACTCTGTCTTTTTGTGGGTTCTGCTGCTTTAGAATTTGTTTAGAGCCAATTTTTATAGGTATTGGGGGGGGGGAGCTCCAGCAAGTCACTGCTTTCCCTCTGCCATCTTGGATCTGCCCTGGAGAGCAGATCTGAACTGGCTCCTGCACATCCCAATAATTATTATCTTCTCCTCTCTAAGTCCCACCTTCTCCTCAGGGAGCTTATACAGTTTTCCAGTATCATAGTGTCACCTTGTGATTGAAATTCTCCCAAGAGAGAGTTGTAGGCCAAAAAAAGACTTAATCTTAGCCTGGAAATGTTCTACCTGGCTTTGTTAGCTGGATATGGTCTGCCTATAACTAAGGAGTTATCAATTTGCCCTAATCAGAGAGAGGCTTTCTAGAGGCCAGGAGAGATCAGTAATATTCAGCAAGGAGAAGGACAGAGAAAATATAGCTATGATATCACCAAATATCAGCATCCCTTCATCACTGGGGAAGTGAGTTATTCCTTGATATGTAGTGTAAACTGAGGCAGATACTTTCTTTAGGGAATTTAGATCTCTCTCTTTCCTCAAAAGGAGTAAGATACCCAGAGGATGCAAAGGCCAGTTCTTGAGACCTAAATCCTCCTTTTCCCCGAAAGAGGAGAAAACCA